ATCATATTAAGGGTGCCTGAGTTGCTCAGTCTTGGTTAAGCAAGACTTGATTTTTGGCTCAGGTCATGATCTTACTGTTCTTGAGATTGAGCCCCATGTCAGGCTCTGTGCTGACAGCGTGGAACCTACTTGGGATTCTCTCTCTCTCCCTCTCTTTCTGCCCCTCCTCCACTCACACACATGCTTTCTCTCAAAATAAATAAATAAACTTAAAAAAAAATACTATGATCATATTAAACATGTATTGAGATTTAGCTGTGTACCTGGCATCACAATTAGCACTTAACGTATATTATCTCATTTAAGACTCATGACACCTTTATCAGAATGGCGTTATTATAGCTTTTTTAGATAAAGAACTTAAAATACTAAAATTTTAAGTAAATATTACAAGCTACACAGTCTTAAATCCAGTGTCCAAACTACTGCTTTTAAGCTCTTCTTCAGGCTATAACCGTATAGCTGTTGTGTCTCTCCAGATGCACATTGAGTTTACATTAATCAAAGTGAGAATTGTTATATTTCATTTGCATTTTTACATCCCCTGAAATACTTTGTGCTCGCTATCTTATAGGCATATGGCTTTCTTACTCATAGAAATCTGTTATTTCATTTTGCAGTATTTTTTTTTTAATTTTTAATGTTTTATTTATTTTTGAGACAGAGAGAGACAGAGCATGAGCAGGGGAGGGGCAGAGAGAGAGGGAGACACAGAATCCGAAGCAGGCTCCGGGCTCTGAGCTGTCAGCACAGAGCCGGACGCGGGGCTCGAACTCACAAACTGTGAGATTATGACCTGAGCCGAAGTCGGACGCTTAACTGACTGAGCCACCCAGGTGCCCCTCATTTTGCAGTATTTTACTATTAGATACTGATTACCAAAATTTGTGCCAGATCCTCTATACAATGAAGCTAGCAGACCTATTGTATCTGCCTTCATTATGAAGATTAAATGGACAGCCCAGTGAAGCTGTCTTAGTACTCTGTGAGCTTCTTAAGGACCATGTCCTAGTTACCCCAGGACTTTGTATCCACAGGACTTATTTAGTACATAATTCCTGATACATAGAATAGTATCTAGCTTTCTATGAATATTCACTGAGCCAGTGATTAAAAACTGAAAGTCTTTTGAAGATTAAAAAATTCTATATAAAGGTAAAGTTGTTATTTTATTAACAGAAAAAAATTACTTGTTATTTTTTTCATGAAAAGGAACTACAAAAGCTCCAGTCCCTACAGTAGTCTTTGTGTCTGTAATATGTACTTAGTCTAGAATTTTACATTGCCATTATTGACACCAGGAAATAATCAAGTGCCTCAGTCTTGACTTTCACATGCCTTTCACATCCCTGGTTTTCTCAAAGGATGCCACTAATTCTCGAATATACTTTAATTATGTTTGATTTTTTAAAAGCCAAATAGGGATGCCTGGGTGGCTCAGTCAGTTGAGCATCTGACTTTTGATTTCAGCTCAGGTCATGATCCTAGGGTGGTAGGATCAAGCCCCACATCAGGCTCCTCGCTGAGTGTGGAGCCTGCTTGAGGTTCTCTTTCTCTCCCTCTGCCCCTCTCCCTACTCACACGTGTGCTCTCTCTCTCTCTCTCTAAAAAACAAATTTAAAAAAAAATGTTTTAAGCCAAATAAAGCTCTTATAATTATGAGGGGAGGAATTTTCCCTAAATATGATGGATAATCTTAGAATGAATACTGCAATTCTAACAATAATGAGAATCATTAGTTTAACCCTATAACTTAACATGTTAGAAAATAACATTTATCTAGGCAACAGATTTTTATTGAGTAACTACTGTGTGCTAGCCTCTCTTTTAAGGGATAGAGTATAAAACCATGAGCAATATAAAGTTCTTGCCATCGTGGCATGTATACTGTAGTCTGTAAAGGATTCTCCTGTCTCTCATCACTGCAAAGGAATCTTTATTAATTTTTTAAACTTACAGCCATTCATCATTTTCACTGCAAATAAACTTTTTATCGTAATGTTTTAGATAACATTACATACTATTATTAAGATTTTAAGATATTTTTAAAAGCAGCATTGTGATAAAGAATACAAGATAACCGTTAGTTGATTTCTGAAAGATACTTCACATTAATGATTTTTTGGCTCTCATACTCTATTGGGATATGTCTAGAGCTGAGTAACTATAACATGATAGATACAGATATATAATAACAGGTATGTATAGAGTACCATAGAAACAGATAAAAGGAATATGAATGACTCTGCCTAGGCCAAGCGTCTAAGGAAATATGGAAAGAAAAGAGAGCTGACATACATGACTGATGGATGATAAAGAATAAGTAGGTTTGACCAGGTTAACCCAAGAGGAGGCTATTCTAGGCATTATAAAACAATTATGAAGAGTTGAAAGAGGATAGGATTGTAAGACACATTCATAAAACAATGGCTAGCCTGATGTCACAGGGTGTGTGGGGGACCGAGTGGGGCAGTAGTAACTAGACAGAAAAGGTGAATTTAGGCCCAGGCTGTGATGGGACAGGTATGCCTTGCAGAAGAGTGTGAGCATTCATCTCTTGCAATGTTCTTGTTGGTCCGAAACAGCTATAAACATCAAGCCCTGCTTTGCTAAGCTGTACACATAAGCAGCATGGCCTGATGCAAAGAGTTTTATTGCCAGATCCTGCCACTTGCTAGCTGCGTGGCCTTGACGAAGGTAACCTCTCCAAACCTCGATTCCCATTCATAAAATAAAAGTACTACCTTTTAGTATTGTGAGATTACTCGTGAAGAGATAAAAAACTATTAGTGAGATGACGAAAGAGGAGAGCCACAGCTAGCACAAATACAGATTGTATGAGCACAGAAAAAAAACCCGATGTGTCAGGAGAAAAAGTAAAGAAGTGTACAATTTACAGGAGGCTGCTCCAGCATTATGGGTAACTCTAAAGCCTTACTTAGTATTTTATTACACAGCGACCCTCAAACAAGGTTTGAATTGTGCATGTCCCCTTATACATGGGCTTTTTACAGCACAGTATGGAGAATGTATTTTCTCTTCATTCTGATTTTCTTAATAACATTTTCTTGAGCTTATTTTGTGGTGAGAATACAGGATATAACACATATAACATACAAAAGATGTGTTAATCAACTGTGTGTTTTCAGTAAGGCTTCTGGTCAACAGTAGGCTATTAGCAGTTAAGTTTGGGGGGGAATCAAGATATGAGGATTTGTGACTATGGCAGGGGGGAGCACCCCTAACCCCATGTTGTTCAGGGGTCAGCTGTATTAAATATAAAAATATTTAAAGTTTAAGTCTTTTAAAGTATAACTAAAGAGTAAAATCTTCAATGTTAGATATAGATATCTAATATGTATTATACAGTATTACAGGATTAAGTAACTTGGTTCAGCTCTTTTGTACTGTTTGCACTGTTTTAAAGCTATTTCTTTGCTTATATATTTTAGAGAATGCAGCTCCATGAGGGGAGGCCCAAACAAAAGAGGCATCGGTGCAGAAACCCTAATAAACTCGATGTTAATAGTCTTACTGGAGAAGAACGTGTTCAGCTGATTAACAGAAGAAATGCCAGAAAGGTATTTATATATTTGTGGTTAATCCTTTGTATTGGTTCAGTGCTTAGGATTTCTCTAGAACCCTGTTTCATTATGCACAGTTTCCTAACAGACCTGGACAGATGTATTGTGTTCGCTTCGGCAGCACGTAGAATGAAACTGGAACGACGCGGAGATCAGCATGGCCCATGCACAAAGATGACGCACAAGGTCTTGAAGCGTTCCATATTTAACTAGCAGATTTGTGAGAAGAGACACGGGCTGTGGTTTTATACGGTCTAATTTCAAATCCCGCATCTTTGGCTAAGCTGTGGAACGAAATAAGCAAGTCACTTCACATGTCTGTGCCTACGCAGTGTGGCACTGCACAGGAGCACCATATCCAAAGCAGTGGCTATCACTGGGAGCAATTTTGTCTTCCAGAGACATTTGGCCATGCCTGGAGACATCTTTGGTAGCCACAACTTGGGAGGTGGGGTGGTGGTAGGCAGGGGAAGGATGCTGCTAAACGTTCTCCAGTGCCGACGATAATCCCTTACAGCACCAGCCCACAATGTCCATGGTGCACGGGTTGAGAAACTCTGATGTTCTCGTCACAGCCATCATGGATTTATGTATTTATCACTCATTCCCTGTCAGATGGCCATAAAGTGATTAAAATCAGCATATTGCTGGGATGAGCACTGGGTGTTATACGTAGGAGGTGAATCCCTGGAATCTACTCCTGAAATCATTATTGTACTATTATGCTAACTAATTTGGATGTAAATTTAAAAAATAAATAATTTTAAAAACTGGAAAAATAAATAAAATCAACATATTGCCTAATTTTCTGATAGATGAAAATAGAATGTCTTAAACAAAGGTCCCTTATAGAATAAGGGCACTGCTGTGTTTGTCTTAGTGCTTTGACTGATGAATGGCAAGAGTCGGGTTTTTCCAAATTCTAATTCTAAAACCAAAGGTGGCTCAACATTTGTTTCCCCAAATTGTTTTTGTTTATGTTTGGATTGGTAGGTGTCTCTTTCAACTCACAGCATAAATGATACAACACTTGGACGCCCTCTTTGTAATCTTATAGCTCCGGTATTTTTACTCTGGTTTTCTTTTTTTTTTTTTTTTTATTACGGCTGAACATGCAACAAAATAAAGAAAAAGATGACCTCAGAATAAGAACAGCAGATTTTTCATTGAGTTCCTTCACTCATAAATTAATTTAACAACTGTTTTGATATTGTTATGTGTGCCAACTCATTAAAATTAATACAGATCTTTCCCCAATTTTGTAGAGATAGCTTATTCAGCTTTTGTTAGTACTTTAAAATGATGTCATAGGTGTATTAGGGAAAGAACAAGATGACATTCTAGTAGCATTTTACTTAATTTTGTGCTTATGTAGATTGTGTTACAAATCTTTGCACTTCATCTTAAAACAAAAATTAGCATTACTAGCTATGGATAAATTTGTCTTAGCCAGTTTTAAGGAAATGGAACAGTTTTGTATTTTTACTTGTTAGGTATCAAACACTCCTAATCTTATTTTAATTTGTGGTAACCTGATAAGGGACCTATTCATTTCCCTTAATTTATAGTTAGTTCTTGTTCAGAGTCTCGAGGTAGCCTAAGGCTGTGAATCTACCTTCTGAATCCCCATAAACCACCCAGAGGGCCTCCATTTAAATTGGAGCTTAATGGGGGCGCCTGGGTGGCGGAGTCGGTTAAGCGTCCGACTTCAGCCAGGTCACGATCTCGGTCCGGGAGGCTCCCACGGCACTGGCTCTAGGCTGATGGCTCGAGCCTGGAGCCTGTTCGATTCTGTGTCTCCCTCTCCTCTCTCTGCACCCTCTCTGCTCATCCTGTCTCCGTCCCAAAAAATAAATAAACGTTGAAAAATAAATAAATAAATAAATAAATAAATAAATAAATAAATAAATAAATAAATTGGAGCTTAATGAAGGGGATAAAGAGAAGGAGAGTAGGACAGAAACTGCAGAGACTAAGTAAAGACTGTAGGAAATACTAGAAAAGGTTACGTACGGGTATTATACCTGGCCACATTAAAATCCTGTCTGTGTCCTGTCAGGAGATAATATATATTCGTCCAGAGAGGTATGGAAAAAGGACTTACGAAGTATCTTTAGGCTCCAAAGGAACATGAAGTTGATAGGTCCAAATCATTTTGTTTTAATTTCATACTAACTATTATGTATAGGTTTTAAATTTTCTCATATTGTGATTACTTGGTTGGTTGTATCGGTTTTCACATTCAAAAAATATGTATATTTTTTATAGTTAAGGTTTCAATTTACGTGACAGATAAGAGCGTGAGTTTTTGACACCCGAGGTTGAAAGTTGACCCTAACACTAACTAGCTAGCTTTGGGCGATTTATATAACTTCTCTGAGGCTTAATGCCTTCATTTGAAAAACAGAAATAATACTGTCTCAAAGGATGTAGTGAGAACTAAAGTAAGTCATATACTTAAAATCCTTAGCGTACTTGGCATATAATAAAAAGAATAAAATATTTGTTATGTGCTAGATGCTGTGCTAAAGCACTTGAGTTGTCTCATTTTTATCCTCATAAAACCCTATAAGGGAAGTATTGTTATCCCCATTTTACAGATAAGGGCTGAGGCTCAGAGGGATTTATTGATTTGCCCCAGTTCACATAGCTGGTAAGTCTGACTCCAAAGGGTATATATGCTCTTAACTAGGCAATATCACCTATCCAGCATAGTAAGTGCAGAGTAAATGGTGGTTATTTGTTTTACTATTCTAGTCACTTAAAGCATTTAAAAGTTACATTGCCACATGTCTATATGTTATATTAATAGTGCTTCTGGCCTGTGGTAGTCCTTTTTAATAAAGATTGTCAAAGGTGGTTCAAGAAATAAACTCTGTACAGCACAGAATAAAAGCAAGAAGGGTTTTCATACTTAGTAGTATCTTTAACCGTCTGTTTTTCATTTACAGGTTGGAGGTGCATTTGCTCCCCCTTTAAAAGATTTATGTCGATTCCTGAAAGAAAATTCAGAATATGGAGTGGCTCCTGAATGGGGAGATGTTGTTAAGCAGTCTGTGAGTATTTCATACATACTAACTCAGGCATCATCTCAAAAATTAGATGCTGTTTAGTCGAACTGAGAAAGACAGCTACCATATGATTCCGTTCATAAGTGGAATCTAAAAACAAAAATCAAAAACAGAACAGAACAGAACAAAACAAAAAGCAGAATCCGATCTTTAAATACAGAGGGGAGGTAGGTGGAGGCAAAATGGACGAAGGGGAGCAGGAAGTATGGGCTCCCAGTTATGGAATATGAGTAAGTCACGGGAGTAAACGGCACAGCATGAGGAATACAGTGAGTGACACTGTAACAGGACGGACGGTAGCTGCACAGCATAATGTATAAACTTGTCAGATCACTAAGTTGTACGCCTGAAATTAATGTAACATTGTGTGTCAATTATACTCAAAAGGGAAAATTAGATGCCATTTAATTATACCAGAGATTAAGTTTTAAGAATCAAATATTGCATGAACGTGTGACAGTGTTTTTTAGTTCACAGTTTTTATTTTGCAGCACATGTTACAAATTTCTCAGATGCTTGTTGAGTTAGAATGCAGAATCAACATAGGCTGATCTGTTTTCATTTTAACCTCTAAGATAACTATTTGAGCAATGCTACCAAGGCTAATCAAAGATGTGAGGAAAGGTGTTTAAGTATATTCATCATAGTATAGTAGTAAAAAATTGGGAATATATTAATGGTCCAGTCATCTATTGGAAAACTATGCAACTATTTTATTTCATTTTATTAAGTTTATTTATTTTTTATTTGAGACAGAGAGAGAGGGTGAGCAGGAGAAGGGCAGACAAAGGGAAAGAGAATCCCAAGCAGACTTCACATTGTCAGAGTAGAGCCCAACATGGGGTATGATCTCAAGAACTGCAAGATCATGACCTGAGCCGAAATCAGAAGTCACCTAACCAGCTGAGCTACCCAGATGTCCCTTTGTGCAACTATTTAAAAAATTGTATCCGGGCACCTGGGTGGCTCAGTTGGTTAACCATCCAACTCTTGATTTCAGCAATCAAAACACAAAGCTATTTTTTCTACAAGTGTCCAAATGACAAGGGCAGGCTATAAAACTAGGTTCATTATGATTCTATTTATTTTAGAAACAGAAGTGGGAAGAATTGTAGAATCTGTAGATATGCACAAGGGAAAAATGGAAACACACATCCTGAAACGTTAGCCATGGTTCTCTCTGAATGGTGAAATTATGGATGATTTTTTTTCTTTCTATTTTTTTGCTGTCTTATTTTCTGCAGTGGACCCTAATGCTTTTGTAAAGAAAACAAGTAAGTGGATCAGTTCAGAACACCATTTAAAAATAGTACCATGAGTGTCTTTGAAGCTGCTGTCGGGAGCTGCACTGTCACAAACGGTCGTCACCAAGCACGTGTGGTGATTGAGCGCTTGGAATGTGGCCAGCCTAAAACAGAGTGTGTGTAACAAGTGTAAAACACTGGGTTGGAATTTTGTTTTAGTATAGTTGACACACAATGTTACATTAATTTCAGGCGTACAACTTAGTGAGCTGACATGTTTATACATTATGCTGTGCTCGCCACAGTGTAGCTGCCAATGCTATCACAACATCACTGGGCTATATTCCTTATACTGTGCCTTTTATTCCCATGACTTATTCATTCCATAATTGGAGCCTGTGTCTCTCACTCCCCTTCACCCATTTTGCCCATTCCCCTACCCTGGTTTGGGTCTTTAAGACTGAGTTTGGAAAAAATAGAAAATATAAAATATCTTTATTTTCATACATTACATATTGAGATGATATACTGGTTAAATTTTATAAATAGACTATATTACTAAAATTAATGTCACATGTTTCTAATATTTTTTCTTTATTTTGAGAGGGAGAGAGAGAGTAAGCAAGGGAGGAGCAGAGAGAGAGAGAGAAAGTCCCAAGCAGGCTCCGCATGGTCAGCACAGAGCCTGATGCGGGGCTCGATCTCACGAACCATGAGGTCATGACCTGAGTCAATATGAAGAGTTGGATGCTTAACCAACTGAGCCACTGAGGCGCCCCTAACGTCACCTATTTCTGTTTTACCATTTTTAATAGATGCAGTTACTAGAAAATTTAAAATTACATTATGTGGGTTGTATTTCTCTTGGACAATGCTGGTCTAGAGATTCTAAACTCCTATGAGGGGCGCCTGGGTGGCGCAGTCGGTTAAGCGTCCGACTTCAGCCAGGTCACGATCTCGCGGTCCGTGAGTTCGAGCCCCGCATCGGGTTCTGGGCTGATGGCTCAGAGCCTGGAGCCTGTTTCCGATTCTGTGTCTCCCTCTCTCTGCCCCTCCCCCGTTCATGCTCTGTCTCTCTCTGTCCCAAAAATAAATAAACGTTGAAAAAACAATTTTAAAAAAAAAAAAAATAAACTCCTATGACTTCTAAGAGTTTCTAAGCCCAGAGTCATGGGAGAATCACTTGAGTATCTTTTTCAGCGTGGCTGTGGCTCTCCCTCCCTATTCCCAAAGTGACAGAAGATTTGCATGAAGCCTCTCATTTAACCTTTTACTTACTTTCTCTGTCCTTTTCCTTATCGTTCTTCTAGACTGCAGGAGAGGCACTTCTTTATTAGTCTCTTAGAGTCATTGGTGATGTGAGACATGTAAAGGTGTGGAAGCAACCCTCACGAAAAAATGTCTTTGGACCTTCTTTTTTCCAGAACTGTTGCGCAAATGTATGCCTCACAGTGTGGAAGAAAGCTAGAGGCCTCCTTCTGCTCTCTTGCCCTGTGAAAAAAATGATAAGTGGAACAACTATTTCAGGCCACCACTTAGAATGTGAAATTAGGCTATGTCTTTCATAATTGATTATGTTATATCAGCACAGACTAAGTTTCTGAATAATTATGGATTTCACTTGATAGCTATTGATTTTATTTTAATACAGCTGTTGTTGGTGATTTTTTTTTTTTTTAGGGGTTTCTTCCAGAAAGTATGTATGAGCGTATTCTCACTGGTCCTGTTGTGAGAGAGGAGGTCAGCAGGCGGGGGCGGCGGCCCAAAAGTGGAATTGCGAAGGCCACGGCAGCGGCCACAGCTACAACTGCCAGCGGTGTTTCAGGCAATCCTTTGTCGGCCAATGGATTACTTCCAGGTGTGGATCTCACAACTCTTCAGGCCTTACAGCAAAACCTACAAAACTTGCAGTCACTGCAAGTGACTGCAGGGCTGATGGGAATGCCTGCTGGCCTTTCTTCTGGAGGAGAAGCTAAAAACGTGGCTGCCATGTTCCCCATGCTGCTGTCAGGAATGACTGGATTACCAAATCTGTTGGGCATGGGAGGGCTCCTGACAAAGCCTACCGAATCTGGAACAGAGGAAAAAAAGGGAAATGACCCTAAGGAGCTAGAAGGAAAAAAAGAAAGGACAGAGAGTCAAAATTCAGAGAATGGGGGAGAAAACTCTGTGTCAAGTTCTCCTTCGACATCATCTACTGCTGCATTAAATACAGCTGCAGCTGCCAACCCGTTAGCTCTTAACCCACTCCTACTCTCCAATATACTTTATCCAGGGATGCTTCTCACTCCAGGCCTTAATCTTCATATTCCAACTTTGTCCCAGTCCAATACTTTTGATGTACAGAAAAACAAAAACAGTGACTTAGGCTCATCTAAGTCCATAGAAGTCAAGGAGGAGGATTCCAGAGTTAGAGATCAGGAAGACAAAGGAGGAACTGAACCCAGTCCTCTCAACGAAAACAGCACAGATGAGGGTTCAGAGAAAGCCGATGCTTCATCTGGATCTGATAGTACATCGTCATCATCCGAGGATTCAGATTCTAGTAATGAAGACTGATTCCCAGACTGCACTTAAATTATGAACTGATTTTGGATTTTTTTCTTTAATTATTAATTGTAAATACCCCAGTGTTGAGTGCATCAATAACTTACTGACCGAACATTTCAGTTCTTTGTTTAGAAGTGCAAACTGCTTTCAGAGACATTTTGCATGTAATATTTCTTAAAATTCCTAAGTTTCTGAACTCGTATGTACTATCAAATACATAAAGGTGTAAAATTGCAACAAAAGGCATTATAATTTTGTTGGGGGTTAATTTTATGAAAATGATACTCAATAAGAGTTGTATATTTAATATATTTGCAGTGAACACAGAATACTTTATGCATATTACTGATTTAATTTGAATATAGTTTTACAGCCTCCTTGACACCTATAATTTACAGATCAAAACTCAGCAATAATTTGGGCAGCTAATGAATGTCATGAAAGCTGTAGAATCTACATCGCCATCCATTGCTTTAATTACATGAAAATGCTCTAGTGTTGTGACGCACTGCTGATGCTTCCAATTCAGGTACAAGTGTGTTTTCAAGAAGAAATAAGTTTCCCAATCAGCCAATTTAACTGGCTACCTGTTACCTCAGCTGAGTTAGTTTAGGAAGTTTACATTCGTTTCTAATTCTATACTTGTTTTCAGGGGTTTTTTAAACACATCCTATATATCATGTTAATCTGGCAAGAACTGTGACTTGCTTTTTGCTGAGCTTAACTCTGCTGTCGGTAAAATCAAGTCATAAAATAATCCTGTGTCACGTGACTTTGGCACCCTCTAGACATACTTAGTTTCACTTTTTCCAAGTTTGGCCTCCTCTTAGAAATAATTATGTCTCAGATGAGTAATGTCTGTTTCCAGGGTTCAGAAAAGGCAAACTCATGAAATGCCACTGAAAAGAACTTTCAACACAGCATACTTCATGTAAAAGAAATTGTTTGTTTGCTTTATTTGTGTAGATTTCTATTTGTGTTTTATGTCATGGAAATATTCCAGAATTAACAGAGGATAGTGGTAAAGTAATATGCAGAACAGTCTGAATTCATTTTGAGTTTCTAGGTAGAAGCAGATGAAATGTTGCCCAGAATCAGTGTTGGGTTATCAGTTTATATTAAATATACTGAGTTGGCCCATTTTGAATATGCACTTTGAATAATCTCAAAAAATATATACAAGTTATACCTGTAAACCACAAAAACAAAGCCCAAGGCTTCTGATCAATTTCTTAGAACCCTTTATCATGCAAAATCTGTCTGATATTTGATTTGTGATACAGTTTCTCCTGCTAAAGCTGCTATTCCGACAAGATGGAGAGGTCCAGTTTCACTTTCATATACATTTAAAACAATTAGAACTGAATTGGAGTAAAATATCATGTACATCCTAAGGAGAGAAAGATGTTAGCATTTTCTGGTACTTGAATAAGTCAGTGATAAAGTTTGCGAGGGGATAAATTTAGGGGGGAAAAGTACCCCACTTCTCTCCCAGAGGAAAAAAATAACTTTCAGTGCGTTTTGATAAAACTCTGTTGTTTTGTCATGAACCCAGCAATTATATTGGATTTTCCAAGATCTTTACCAGTAAATTGTTTCTGTGTGTAAAATAACTAACCCCTTATTAGAGCGACAGTGTTACATGTATTTACAAAATCATATAACTTCCATTGGGATTGTATTGATTTTTGTATTTTCCCCCAAATAGTGCTTTGAATTGATAGTCCTTTATGCAATGTCTTAGCAATAGTCACTCTAATGCCCATCCAGGAGAAGTGGGTAGTAATTCTTCATCATGAAAATGATATATTACATATTTAGTATGTTCCCTTTGCAGTATTGCACTTTTGTTTAACTAGAATACACCTATGAGATAGCCAAAGTTTCTCAAACACAGTTAACCTGGTTTGCCGGTGAAAGTATTTCAACAGCATCCACATTTCCCCCTCTCTCCCTCTAGTTCTACCCACATGATCTTTATTCCTTTCTTTCCCCAATTAAAAAATAAAAGGAAAAAAAAAAAAAGCCCTAGATCTTATCACTAAAAATCTAATTTATATCAAATTTATGAGATAAAGTATTTTCCTAATTACGGTCAAATGAATTTGGTTAACATCTTAGTGATTCTCTTTCTATGTAATAAGGCAATTTGCAGTTTTCAAAGCATTAATACTAACTTTAAATGTTCTCTTGGGTTTCAAGACACTTCTACTTAGTATTGATTGGGGAAAAGTCGTCCAGCTATCAGCTTAAAAAAAAATGCATAAATATGGTTGTGTAAAGTTAAGGGTTATAAGGAAAAAAAAAAAATCAGTAGAATTCCATAATACTAAAGTTGCAGTTGAAAGGATATCCAAGTATGTGTTGGTAGTTACTAAAAGAATTATAGCTGTTATTGCCTTGTATTTATAGCTCTTGTTTCAGGTTTCATGATTCAAGTCTTAGTCTAATTTTTCTTTTGGACATTTGCAATATTTACCAGTTGTGTTTTGTGTAGTCTGAATTTGCTTTCTGTAGTTGAGCAAACGTCTTAAAAAGTCATTTGTAATTTATTAAATTACTTTCTATGATGTTCTATAGAGCAAATGGAAGTTTAATTATTTTTTATTAAACATATTCTTTGACTACCCATGATGTCAGCCTCTGTACATGACAATACTCCTTTTTTTTAAATTGACTTTTGTATATAATTGATCTTAATCCAGTTATAAAAGAAACCATAGTCCTAAATCTTTAAAAGAAAAGGATACTTTGGAAGAATTTTTAAAAGGAGAAGTTGGCTATAATTATATCCACAGTATCGTTACTTCCTTAAGTTTTCTTCCCATCACCCTTAAAAAAAAAAAGTCCAGAAAGACTCAGAGCTATACCTAACCTCTTCACAGAGTACGTTTTGGAAATCAGTAATTATTTTTTTTTTTTTCCCTTGGTCTGAAGAGTCTTTCCTAATTCATCATGATTGTTTTGGTGTTTTTATAAACATGAAAGAAATTTAGTTTTCCTCTAATTAAGTAGAACAGTAGAGTCTCATCATATACTCATTTAACTTGGAAGCCATTCAACTATACTTTCATGCTTAGAAAACCCTTCTTTTTCTTTTCTGTACAATGTAGCATGTAAACCCAAGCCAACTGCTTCCTCTAGTGCTCATCAGAGGAACAGTAATCTACACAGTGCTAGAGGAAGAATTGGCTATGTTAGATGTTTTGGGGAGACAATACACTATGTACAAAACGGTATGTTCCGTATTTTGTGAGCTATAGGAGGGAGAGTGATTGTTGACTACAAGTAATGTTCACCTTAACAAATTTAGAACTTAGTCTCTACGTAAATACAACTCCAGTACATAAGCTATTTATTTTAAAATGCAGGAAAGCACAAAGAAATATATTTAAATAGTCATAAACCCACCCCAAGATAAATGCTGTTCATATAGATACCCAACGTGCTTCATATGTATGTTACATACATGTAGTGGGTTGAATCGTGTCCAACAAAAATTTATGTCAAGCCCAAACCTCCAAATGTGACCTTATTTGGAAATAGGGTCCTGGCAGATGTAATTAGTTAAGATACAGTTATACTAGATTAGGGTGGGCCCTAAATCCAATGACTGGTTCCTTATAAGAAGAGGAGAGGACACAGAGACAAAGGGAAGAAGGCTATAAGACAACAAGCAGAGACGAGTGACACTACTACCAGCCAAGGAACACCAAGGAATGTCAGCCACCACCGGAAGCTAGGAGAGCGGCATGGAACAGATTTTGCTTCAGAGCCTCCAGAAGGAAGCGACGCGGCCAACACCTTGATTTTGGACTTCGGGCCTGAATTGTGGGAGAATAAATTTCTGTTGTTTTAAGCCACCCCGTTTGTGATAATTTGTTATGGTAGCCCTAGGAAACTTACACACCTTCATATTAAATCAGTATTCTATTTACTGTTCTGCCCTTAATATACTCACCTATGTCAATAAGTACCCTGTGTTGTGATGTTTAACACCTAGTATTGTCTCATACAGATGGAATTTATTTAACCATGTACTTACAAGTGGACATTCAAGTTTATAAATGCATCTTTGGCATCCACCCCTGTGACTTCCTTAATCCCTAGAAGTGAAAATCCTTCCTCTGTTCTTGAGGATTTTGATTTGTGTTGCCAAGTTTACAATGATGCCATTAGTAGCAACTTCTACCACAGCAGCATGTATTTTGTGCGTGCTCACCCCAAAATCTTACCAATACTGTGTATTGTCTTTTGAAGTAATCTTTGCCAAATTAATAGGCAAAAATAACATCTTGATGAATTTTTAAAGTATTCTTCCCTTTTCTTACTAAAAAAAAAAAAATAAGACATACATATTCTAGAGAATTTGGGGGGTGGGGGGCTTGGGGAGGAGGAGTTGGGGAAGCACAAAGTAAACCAAGACCCCCATAATGTTAAATGCTCAGAGATAAAACTGTTAAGCTTTGGGTCATTTTTCTTTGCATATACATATATATTATTTTAATAAGAATGGAGTTATACTGTACATACCATTGTGTAACTTTTTTTCGTTTATTATATCATGATAATTTTTCCATGTCATTAAAGAATCTTCCACAGCATTTTTAAGGACTTTCTCATTCCACTATATAGATGGAACGTAACTTATTTAATGCCCAATTATTGAGCATTGAGATGTTTTTCAGTTTGGGACTACTTAAACAATGGTACGTTTGTAGTTAGGTCTTTTCAAATACTTAGATTTTTTCATTAGAATAAATACCTAGGCATGAAATAGTTATGTTTGAGTTTTAAGACCAGGCAGACTGTATTATTTTCTACCCCAACAACAGACCATGAAACTACTTCCATTCCCCATGTCTCTTTAGCTAACCCTGGGCATTAGAATATTTTTTAATCTTTGCCAATTTGATAGACATTTAGTTCATATTTCTTTGATTATTAGTAATATAAAGTCTTTCATATCTCTTCATAAGGCCATTTGTATTTTGTGCATTAACTGTCCTTGTTCTCTCTGCAATACCTGTTATACAAGTGGTAAATATTTTTCTCAATTTGCCTGTGAATTTTGTTGGTTTTTTTTTAATGTGAAAGTTTCACATGTTTATGTGGTCATGTAGATACTCCATTTCTTCACGTTTTAAGTTTCTGATATTTTTCCACAGAAAAATCTTTTCACACCCAAATTCTGTACATGTTTGCTTTTTTTAATATTTAGTGCCTTAATTATTAAGCATTGTCCCAGCATTATTTAGTATATAGTGTCTCCGCTGATGTGACATGCCTGCATTGATTGTAATCTAAATTATGTATGTTAGTGTGAATTATTTAGATATATATGAATTACTTAGATTGTATCATAAATATGCATGATATATCTATAATATATCATGTAAACAGTAAATATAAGAAAACTGGAGTGGCTGTACTCATAAAAGATAAACTTTAAAACAAATGTTGCTAGAAATGAATGAGAATATTTTATAATGATTTAAGAGTCATTCTATCAGGAAAATATAACACTTTTATAGGCACTTAACAGAGCCATAAAATACATACAGCAAAAAAGTAACAAAATTGAAAGGAAAAATAATTCCTAGATGATAGTTGAAGACTTCAACTTCCCACTTTGAATAACAATAGAACAAATAGGCAAACAGTCAACGAGAAAACAAGATTTGAACAACACAGTAAAATAGCTAGACCTAAGAAGCATTTGTTGAACACATCACCAAATAATAGGAAAAAAAATTCTTCTAAGGCACATAAGATCATTCTCCAAGATAGACCATGGAACAAGTCAAATTTTGGAAATATGTAATTATACAAAGTAGCCACAATAGAATGAAGTTTGAAGTCAGAAAGTGTGGATATTCACAACTATGTACAAGTTAACACACTCCTAAATAATCAATGAGTCCTAGAAATCTCAATCTCAAAGGAAGTTAGGAAATATTTTGAGATACGTGAAAACAAATACACAACATATGAGATGCAGCCCAAATGATGCATAAAAGGAAATCTGTAAGTGTAAATGTCTACATTAAGAAAAAAATCTCAGTGCACTTGGGTGCCTCAGTCAGGTGAATGACATTTATAAGGGGAGAGTGGCAGAGGGGTGAGAGAATCCCAAGCAAGGCACATGCTCAGCGCAGAGCCTGCCACAGGGCTGGATCCCATGATCCTGGGATCATGAACTGAGCCAAAATCAAGAGACAGATGCTCAACTAACTTAGCCACCCAGGTCCCTTGATCTTTGGACTCTTGATCTCAGTTCAGGTCATGAGTTCAAGCCTCGAACTGGACTCCACACTGAGCATACAGTCTACTTTAAAAAAAAAAAAAAAAAAAGAAAGAAAAGAAAAAAGATATCACATCCAAAAGGTAGTTCTTTTAAAAGACCCACAAAATTGGCAAACCTTCAGCTAGACTGGGCAGTAAAAAAAGAGAAGCATCAAATGACTAGATTCAAAAATGAAAACGGACATTCCTACCATCCTTCCAGAAATAAAAAGGATCATAAGGGAACATTATGAATAATTGTATGCAAATAAATTAGATAAACCTGGATGAAATGACAAATTCTGAGACACAAACTAGTGAAACAATCAAGAAAAAATAGAGGGGCGCCTGGATAGCTCAATCATTTAAGTGTCCAACTTCGGCTCAGGTCATGGTCTCATGGTTCATGGGTTTGAGCCCGCGTCGGGCTCTGTGCTATCAGCTCAGAGCCTGGAGCCTGCTTTAGATTCTGTGTCTCCCTCTCTCTGCCCCTCCCCCACTGTGTTCTGTCTCTCTCAAAAATGAATAATAAAAAATTTGAAAAAAATAGAGACTATAATAAGATAAAGAGTATAATAAATTAACAGATTAAATTACTAATAACAACAATGACGAAAAACATGATAAAATCCCTGGATGAGGTGGTCACTCTGACAGGAGGGGGGAAAAAGCACTTATTCATCACATATTCTTCCAAAAATGGGAGAGCAAATATTCCCCATTTTGTTTTATGAGGACAGTATCATCCTGATACAAAAGCCAAAGACACCACAAGGAAACTGCCAATCGATAACCCATAGGACTATAAAATGCAAAGTTTTTCAACAAATTGCTAGCAAACTTAATCTAGCAACATATGAAAAAGATTATACACCATGACCAAGTTGGATTTATCCCAGGATTACAAAATTGGTTCAACATACAAGAAACAATCAATGCACTATTAACAGAAAAAAGCAGGGGGGGGGAACCACATAATTATAATTATCTCAATAGATGCAGAAAAAAACATTTCGTGAAATCCAATACCCTATTATGATTTAAAAACAAACAAATGAAAAGGGTGGGGATAGAAGAGAACTGTCTCCACCTGATAAAGAGCATCTGTAAAAAACCAACAACTAACAACATACTTAATAAAGACTGAATATTTTCTTTTTTTATTTTTTTAACGTTTATTTATTATTGAGAGACGGAGAGACACAGAGCGTGAGCAAGGGAGGAGCAGAAAGAGGGGGAGACACAGAATCTGAAGCAGGCTCCAGGCTCTGAGCTGTCAGCACAGAGCCCGAATCGGGGCTTGAACTCACGAACCGCGACATCATGACCTGAGCTGAAGTTGGACGCTTAACAAACTGAGCCACCAGGAACCCCCAAAACTAGACTCTTGATCACTCCTCTCCATACCTTTAGTTGCTCAGATCTAACATCTGTGTCATCCTTAACAACCCCCCACCCCCGCCAGCCGATCCCCAGTATCCAAGCCATTAACAAATCTGTTCTGTATTCCCATTTTCTAGGTTAAGGGAATGGATTAAACATATCCATATAATTCTGCATTCTCAAAAAATCCACTAAACTGTGGTAAAGGGAATTCTGTCTTTCTTTCTTTCCTTCTTTCTTTCTCTTTCTTTCTTTGTTTTTTTCAAGTAGGCTGCACACCCAGCAAAGAGCCCAGTGTGGGGCTTGAACTCATGACCTTGATATCAAGACCTGAGCTGAGATCAAGAGTCCAATACTTGAGGGGCACCTGGGTGGCTCAGTCAGTTAAGCATCCTGACTTCGGCCCAGGTCATGATCTCAAAGTTTGTGAGTTCAAGCCTCGCATCAGGCTCTGTGCTGACAGCTCAGAGCCTGCAGCCTGCTTCAGATTCTGTGTGTCCCTCTCTTCTGCCCCTGCCCAACTCATGCTCTGTCTCTCTCTCTCAAAAATAAAAAAATAAAATAAACATTAAAAAAAAAAAAAAGAGTCCGATACTTGAGCCAAAAAGGGAATTATTTTAAAAGACAAACCCATATTACAGGGAGAATAGGGGAAAAAACAAAAACAACTGTGAAATTTTGGAAACTGAAGCAGACCAGTGAAAATTGACAAGTCTCCAAAAAAGCTAAATTCCAAATTGGCAGGAAGAAAAGCTGAAAACCGAGAGCTCCTTTCTGTTTACTGAATGGGATGCTGCCAGATTCATGCATTGCTTAAAGAAGATAATTAGATGTGAACGAGGAGAAGGAAGGAAGGAAGGAAGGAAGGAAGGAAGGAAGGAAGGAAGGAAGAAAGGTGAAAAAGAAGGAAAAAAAGAAGAAAGAGAAAAGAAAAAGAAAAAAGAAAGGGAAGACGAAAACTAATCCAACTTGCATTTCTGGATCCTGGAAAGATTTAGGAACTAGCAGCACTGAATTCATCTATAACTAAGGATGAAAGAGCAGCTACTAACGGAAAAAATGAAAGTCTTTGGATCCCTCCCCACTCATCGCCACTGACTGTCCTTCTCTCCTCTTCACAGAGGTCTCGAGGTCTATTACATGGAAACTGTTTCTGCACAGGGGTGGTGTGGGGCTCCTGGCACAGGCAAGGACGTGGGTACCATATGGAAATAAAAGGATTAAGTGACTGATACTAAAGCCTAATTACCCTGAGCCATTTTCCCCCAGTTGGCTCCCAGAATTCTGGCATCCAAGATTTCTATTTTGCAGCCGGAGATTATAAGACAATTTGCTGAAGACTCTGACTAATTTTTTCCTGAGAAAATACTTCAAAAACTATTTTCAGGATAGTTCCCCAACAGATAACACCCTTTGATGACCGCACACAGTGTTTCTCAGTGGCGGGCAATTTTTCCTCCTCAGGGGACATTTGGCAATGTCTGGAGACATTTTTGGTGTCGCAGTTTGACAGTACGTGTGTGTCCCGCTGGCATCTGCTGGGTAGGTATCAGTTGTCCTGCTAAACATCTTACAGAGCATAGCACGGTCCCCACCTCCCACCCAACAACAAGGAATTATCAGGTGCAAAATGTCAGTAGCCCCAAGGTTGAAAAAACTGTCCTACAGTCATCAGGCTTCACTTATGTACTGAGAGCTTCCTATTAGCTTTAAAAAAAAAAAAAAAAAAAAAGCTTTATTGAGATATTTATATACCATAAATCCACCTATTAAACACATACAATTCAATAGACTCTAATATATTTACAGTTATACAATCACTACCGCTATACAAACTTCAGAAGGTAAAGCCAGACCATGTCCCTAAGACCCTGTTCAGCATCCCTGCTCCTGGGAGCCTATATCCAAGAAGGTAAGACATCACTACCCTTTCCAGACACCACTATGCTTGCACTGGAAAGTCCAAAATCTGCAGGTGGGCCAACAGGTTGAGGACCTAGGGAATAGCCAATGGTTTCTTCAATGGGTTAAAGTTCAAAGGCTGTCTCTAGCAGAACTCCCTTTTGCTTGGGGAGGTCAGTCTTTTTATTCTATCCAGGCCTTCAACTGATTGGATGAGTCCCACCCAGATTATGAAGGGCAATCTGCTTTACTCAAAGCACACTGATTTAAATGTAAATCTCATCCATAAACACCACACAGAATCAATGAATAATGTTTGGCCAAGTATCGAGGCACTATGGCCCAGCCAAGCTGACACACATAAAATTACCACCCCAGCTTCTATACTGAGAAGAAATTGATTTAGGAAGGACAGAAGCAGAGAGACCAGATGGGAGGAAATTGCAACAATGCTGGTAAGAGATGACAGAAGCTTGGGCCAGAGGATTGGCAATGGAAGAGGTGAGGAGTGGTTAGGTTTGGATAATTGAAGACTGCGTTGGCAGAAACTGCAGATGAATTAAATGCAGAAGGTGAGAGAAAGGAATCAAGGATAACTCCAAAGTTTTTTGGCCTGATCCACTGGGAGAATGATGTTATCATTTTCTACAGGAAAAACGGAGACAGTGGGCTTAAGGCATGGCTTCGATGACATGAAGGGTGAGGCACAGTGGGCAGCTGACAGGACGCAGCCCCTGCTCCTGGCCTTGAAGTCTGGAGGATATAAGGACATGAGGAGGGTTCCAGAGGGCACAGCGAAAGGGCGGATGATAGGAGAGGAGAGGGAGATTTCATCCTGGCTGAAGTCACTCGGAGAGAGAGAGATTACTGGAAGGGTTTACACTTTTAATGATGGCAGAGGAAATCAATCTAATCAGCATGATCAGTCTTGTCTTGGGAGCAATGGGCTGAAAGTCCAGCTAAGTGTTTAAGTTCATTAATATTTATTGAACACCTATTAAGTGCTCAACACTGTAATACTGTTCTAAGTTTTAGGGATATATGAGTGTCACTGCTGTCCTTAACCTAACACCTTAAGTGGCTTCACCTTTATTTTTTTCAAATGTTTATTTTTGAGAGAGAGAGAAAGTGCGAGTGAGGGAGGGGCAGAGAGAGAGAGAGAGAGACAGAGGATCAAAGCAAGCTCTGAGCTGTCAGCACAGAGCCCAACTCAGGGCTGGAACTCACGAACTGTGAGATCATGACCTGAGCCAAAGTCAGATGCTTAACTGACTGAACCACCCAGGAGCCCCTGGGCTTCACCTTTAGAATCAAGTCCAAAAATCTTTTCTAGGTCTTTGACTTCATCTCTATCCACACATCATGGCTTTTCTTCTCCATCTTTTCACTTAAACCACATTCATATTCCTGCAATTCCCTGCACTACCCATGCCTTTTCCAGATTCAAGTTCTTTGTGTAAGCATTTTTTCTCCACCAGAAACCCACCCTTCTTCCCTTCCTCTAGCTATGATTTGATATATGTATATAGAATAAAACCTTGGATTGCGAGTAACTTGTTCTGTGAGTGTTTCATGAGACAAGCAAACATTTCTAATAAATTTTAACCTGAAAAATAAGTGAGGTCTCACAATACAAGTACTACCTGACATCAAACGTCACTTGATCACAACTGAGCCAATGGTTTTTATTTCTCTGTCTCTGTCTCTGTCTCTCTCTCACTTGCTCACTCACTGTGGAATTGTGGGTGATTGTTTCCCATGCTCGGATGTGTCAGGCCATGGTGTTTGGCAGAAATCAGTGATTTTTCAGGACGTTGGAAGGTGCCTGCGACTGGCAGTAGTGTATTTTTTGTCACTTTGAAGCACCAATGGACGGTCCTTTGCTTTTCCGTGCAAGAGTAAGCTTAGGAAAGCTTGGCTTCCTTCTAGGTCAGGCTGCCTGCGGATATAGACCCTTTCCTCCGCTACCTTATTGCCAGTTACGTTAAATACAGTAAATGACAAGTGTTTATTAATACTGTTCCGTCCTCACCATCTGTGCGAGCGTATACAATGGTCCCCATGCAGAAAAAGATTCCATTGAGCCAACAGACAGCAGTGATTCTGTTAGTGGTAGTGAAAGTCGTCCTACACGGTGACCCTCCTCTCTCTGGTCTCCCTCACACCAGCCACGAAGGTTTTCCACGGTAAGTGCCGGTTAATCTGTTTATTTTCCTTTATGTTTTGTATTTTCTTTATTATTTTGTATTATTTGACAGTATGGTAATCATTCTTATGGGAATATTTTGGGGTTGTGGAAAGAATCAATTGAGTTTCCATTATTTCTTATGGGGAAATTCGCTTTGATATACAAGTGCTTTGGATTGCAAACATGTTTCTGGAATGAATTATGCTTGCAAACCAAGGTTTTACCATATTATGGAATGAGTAACACCATAAGCTTAGTTAACATCCCTAACCATACATAGTTACACTTTTTTTTAAAGATATCTCTTCAGGGGGGCACCTGCGTGGCTCAGTCGGTTGAGCATCTGACTCGATTTTGGCTCAGGTCACAATCCCAGGGTCGTGGGATTGAGCCCCCACACTGGGCTTCGTGCTGAGTGTGGAGCCTGCTTGGGATTCCCTTTGTTTCCCTCTCTGCCCCTCTCCCCTGCACGTATGCTCTCTCTCTCTCTCTCTCTCAAAAAAAAATTTTTTTTTACTTAAATTTTTACTTAAAATTTTAAGGTAAATAATTAAAATAAAGATTTCTCTTCAGGGAAATGAAAGGTAAGAATGGAAAGCCTTTGTCTACCTCCAAACACTCAGTCACCAGCACCCCAACCCCTGCACGTGTGCATGCACAGAACACACACAGGCACACACGTGCCAGAGGTCTTCTCTGATGCACCCATAACTCCCTGAATTTCCTTTTCATAACATATTTATACTTGACAATTGTTTGTTCTGGGTCTGTTTCCCCCATGAGACCACAAGCTCTTTGAGGACAGAGACCATGCTTGTCTCATTCACTCCTGGATCCTCAGTTGTTAGCAAAATACTTGACATATAGCAGGTGGTCAGTAAACATTTGTTGAGTATTTGAAAGAATTGATGGTAGGCTCTCTGGCTAAGTGAATAAACGAATGAATGAATGAATGAATGAGTGATCAGACCCCAAGAAAACCTTTGAACATTGAAGATTGATTTTTAAAAAAGATTTTTTTTAAGTTTATTTATTTATTTTGAGAGAGTGCAATCTTGAGCCAGGGAGGGGTAGAGAAAGGGACAGAGAAAGAATCCCAAGCAGGCTCCGCATTGTCAGTGCAGAGCCTGATTTGGGGTTCAAATTCACGAACTGTGAGATCTGACTTGAGCCAAAATCAACAGACAGACACTTAACTGGCTAGCCACCCAGGCACCCCAAGATTAATTTCTTTTTAAATCTGTTTTTTTTAAATTGAGGTATAATTGACATATAACGTCCTATTATTTTAGATGCATAACATAAGGATTCGATATATGAGTATATTATGACAGCAAGTTTAATTAACATCCATAACTGCACATACATTTTTTTTCTTGTGATGTGAACTGCTAAGATTTACTCTCTTAACAACTTTCAAATATACAATACAGTATTGTTAACATAGTCATCACGATGTACATTGCATCCCCAGGAATTATTATTATTTTTTTTTTTAATTTTTTTTTTCAACGTTTATTTATTTTTGGGACAGAGAGAGACAGAGCATGAACGGGGGAGGGGCAGAGAGAGAGGGAAACACAGAATCGGAAACAGGCTCCAGGCTCCGAGCCATCAGCCCAGAGCCTGATGCGAGCCTGACGCGGGGCTCGAACTCACGGACCGCGAGATCGTGACCTGGTTGAAGTCGGACGCTTAACCGACTGCGCCAC